TTCACTAGAGTAGCCATTTACTCCATGTCATGGTTATAAATTTAATCGACTACAAGACTTTGTTCATCCCTTCGGATAGTGACCATGGACATGATCTATAGTAGAAAGAGATCACACAGAACCCAGATATATTAAATTGTTTGAGCATAGGAATTTAAAATTTTACAAAACACGCTTAAAAAGAGTCGAGAGTACGCAACAAAAACAGAGAGTCGAAAAGACCATAAATAACAAAAGAAACAGAACCAAGGACTGTGTGGGAATTGGTGCACACAACCATGGTAGAGAAGCTAGAATCTTAATCTTATTTCTGCTGGGAAATAAAATCTAGGACGTTCCCTCTCTTCGTAGTACTGGCCTGACAACTTTTGCTCGGATTCACTGAGCGACCTTAATTTGTTGATCCTCGGTGTCAAGATGAAGTCATTAGGATCCTGTCTGCATGTGATGATATCAAGCTGCTGCTGCAACAACATACAAAACATGTTTAGTATTTTGCTTCCTCTAAAAGTTATGAGACTGAGACTGGCTAACCGATAAGAATTTGTTCATCCCTTCGGACAGTGAGCATGGAGAGTTAATAAAACAAAAGTTTGATCCCACTCTTCTTTCTGCCAAAATGACTTGGTCTGCCAAATAGGTCGCCATCATAAAGTCATGCTCCACAACAATCGCGGTAGCCGTCATGCTTAACATGCGCCGCTTTATGGCTATTGCGACATTGACTCTCTCGTCTGCGTCCAAATGCGCACTTGGCTCATCAATCAGGTAGACAACTGCGTGCTGCAAACAAAATTTCAACTAAGTCGCAAAATGTTTCCCCGCTTTTATTATTGTTACAAATAGTAATACTCACCCTCCCCAAGCAGACGGCTATGGTGACTCTCTGCAATTCTCCGGGGGAGAGTGATGACACTTTTCGATCCATCAACTGGTCAATCTGAAGCGGTTTCATCACTTGCGATGCAAATAGATTACCCTCGGACCAATGGAACTCCAAATTTGGCAATCGTCTGACTGTACGCTCCATACTCCTCCCCTAGACAATAATATCCTGCTGTTTGTAAGACACATTTGACCATGGTGCCTGCTTTGATAGTTTGTCAGGTCTTACCACGCTGGCCTGATCAGGTAGTCCAAGAGAAATCTTTGGTTTAAGAATCAAAAGAGAGTTAATTTATAAATGATCAAAAGGCACTGCACTCTACCAGCATTCGGATGAAGGTGGACTTCCCTGTACCGTTTTGTCCGAGCACTACAAGAATCTGAGAAGTAATGAATTCCCCTGCTGTCACTTGTACAGTTAAATTCTTACCAGTTCTCGTCATGGGTCCGTAACTGAGTTTTCTAAATCCAAAACGTGAACCGGTTACTCGGGGCGGAGAATGAGGAAACTTGGAAAAGGAAAGAAGGAACAAGTATCAATGAAAAGAGTCTGACCACTTAGGAGACAAATAGGGAAAAGAAAAGAAAAGCTTCACCTGAAAGATGAGAGAATCATCCCTAATACGCAAACTTGTAATGCTATCAAACCCGGTCAAGAACATGTGGAGTCCATCTCTGGCATTATAGGAGCGAGAAAGGAGACCGCATGCTCCTGGTTTCCCATGCAAACAGTAAATGGTTTCTGACAAATAGTCGAGGAGACTAAGGTCATTGTCCGAAACAATCACGTAGTTGTCTCTGGTGAGGAGATTACGTATAACTCGGGCAGCTATGAACCTTTCCCTCACGTCGAGGAAACAAGATGGTTCGTCAAATATGTATACATCGGCTTCCTCTGAGGCAACTGCAGCGATCATAACCCTCTGCAGCTGTCCATGAGTTAATTTTCTGAAAGGCTTGTCGAGTAACTCCTTCAGCTCCAGCTCATGGCAAATCTCTTCCATCTTGCTGTCGTACTTGCCAAGCAGGCTCCTCAGATTAGGAGCGGTAGTAGAGCCTTCCATGTCTTTGAAATGTTGTGGCTTCATAACGACCTAGAGGAGACATAGACTCAAAGCTAATCAAATTTTGCATAGAAAGATGTTATTGTATTTGTAATAGGTCAATTTCCACCATATATACCTTTAGTTTCCCTAGTAGAATCTGGTTGAGGTAGTGTCGAAGCTCTTTGTTGGGGAAGAGCGACAGAATTTCTTGCAAGTGGGTAGGCTTCTGTTCAAGAGGAAGAAGAATCAGAATCAATCAACCAATGATGCGAAAGACTTGAGAGAGTGAATCTTACATCCAAGTGGCCAAAATTCGGTTGGAGTATTCCAGCCAAAAGTTTGAGAGTAGTTGATTTCCCAATACCATTTCTTCCAATCAACCCTAGGACCTCTCCTGGCCTTGCAACGGGAAGGCTGCATGTGCACATATAAATCTAGATGCTTAAGAAGAAGAATTAGTGGACTACCAAAAGAAATAGACTTACCCTTCCAATTTGAAAGAGCCTTGGACATGGCAGAGAGCGTGGCCCCTCTCCTTATCTGTATGTTTAAAATGCCTTGGCATCTTCTAACCCACATGCATAAATAAAAGATTTGGGGTAAGAAAAAGTTTTAAACTTTTCAACAAATCCAAGACCAAATCAACCACACGTTGAAATTCACAATCACACCACTCCTCCTACCAACAACAAAGATGTATGCTTGAAAACTGGACCCTAGTTGCTCCACATACCTTTGGACTTGATGCACCGATTTCGAGACGCAGAGATTAGGGTTTGCCTTGCACTTTTGTCCTCTCCTTTAGTCGCGAACCATTTATATATATATATTTTTTTTATCTACCCATTTCTATTAAAGCCCATAAAAGTGCACAGCCCACTCCAGGCCCAACCTAACATATCAAACAAAATTAAAAACAATTGGAAATTTTCAACACATTGTAATTGAAAAAAATCTGTGGCCAGAGATCTTGGAGTGTTTTTGGATTTTGAACGATTTAATAACTTAGATCTAGTGTGACAGAGAGATAGATAAAGCTTGATCTTGCCGAATTAGAATAAACTAGTAGAATAATTCTTTTCTCTATATTTTTTTTTGTCAATATTTTATGTTATTCGTAATAGTTATTTCGTTTCAATTGTGTGGAG